ATTTGATGGTTGTTTTGCGGTCGGATGACATGCATAGGAGAGCACCAAGATAGTAGCTGAAAAAAGAAATATGATGTCTGTGGGTGCATGAATGCAGTTTGACACCACTTTAACTGCCATGGTTCAGTACAAGATCTCTGCCAAAGAGTGCTACAAATCCCAGGATTCCATAGCATTGAGCCACGGCAGTTAAAGTGAAGTCAAACTGCATTCATTCTACAGTGTAAATTCACCCTGTGGCTTCTATAGACACTCCAGTCTGCTTTTATTCCACTCCCTGAAAAGATCAATAGTTTTCAGAAGAGGCAACTAACCTTTTTTGATTGGTTACAATGCTCTTTGGCACTTTTAAAAGCAAAGACATCCATTTTCCTCCTCAATACTCAAAGTGGACTTCCAACCATTTTCTGTTCTGGGTTGTTGTAGGTTTTTTGGGCTGTGTGGCCATGTTCCAGAAGCATTCTCTCCTGACATTTTGCTTGCATCTATGCAGGTATCCTCAGAGGTTGTGAGGTCTGTTGGAAATTAGGAAAATCTGTGGAAAGTCCAAGGTGGGAGCAGAGGCGGCCCTAGGTAATTTTCAATGGTAAGCAAACGGTATTTTGGTGCCCCCCCAACCAATCATTTATATATATTTTCTGTTCGTCGTGAGAGTTCTGTGTGCCACATTTGGTTCAATTCCATCATTGGTGGAGTTCAGAATGCTCTTTGATTGCAGGTGAACTATACATCCCAGTAACTACAACTTGCATATGTCAAGGTCTATTTTCCCCCAAGAGCACCTCAAGAGCACCCCTGGGCAAAATCAACTATACTGCAAATGCTTACTTTGCGTAATGGGTTGAGCCGCTCCTGGGTGGGAGAAAGAACTCTTTAACCGTTGGAGTTCGGTGTGAATGTTTCAATTGGCCACCTTGATTAGCATTTGCTGGCCTGACAGTTTTTAGGTATGTCTTGTTACTGCCTGGAGAAATACTTTGTTGAGAGGAGTCAGCCATAGCAGAGCACCTGATGAACGAACCTGGACATAGCATATTATTTGAGAACACAGAAATGCTGGACCACTCTCACAACTAACATGTCTACACGGAGAAGCCATGGAAATCCACAAGCATGTGGACAATTTCAACAGAAAGGAAGAAAACATGAAAATGAACAAAATCTGGTTACTAGTATTTAAAAACTCTAAAATTATAACAGTAAATAAATAACAAAACTCAAACACAGGGGAACTCCAGACAAGGAACAATCAGGAACAGCTAATCACCTCTCAACAAAGAATTCCCCCAGGAAGTAACAAGGCACACCTAAAACTGTCAGGCCATCAAATGCTAATCAAGGTGGCCAATTGAAACATTCACACCTAACTCCAAAAGGCAAGCGTTCTTTATCCCACTCTGACTTTTCACAGATATATAAACCCAATTTTCCTAGTTTTCAACATACCTCACAACCTCTGAGGATGCCTGCCATAGACAGAGGCGGCCCTAGGTAATTTTCAATGGTAAGCAAACAGTATTTTGGCGCCCCCCCCCCCCCAACCCATTATTGATATATATTTTCTGTTCGTCGTGGGAGTTCTGTGTGCCATATTTGGTTCAATTCCATCATTGGTGGAGTTCAGAATGCTTTTTGATTGTAGGTGAACTATACATCCCAGTAACTACAACTTGCATATGTCAAGGTCTATTTTCCCCAAAGAGCACCTCAAGAGTGCCCCTGGGCACAATCAACTATACTGCAAATGGTTACTTTGCGTAATAGGTTGCTGAGGCTTCCCCCGGACTGCTAGGGCTGTTGTGAGCCGAGGGGGCGCTCCTCAAGTGGTGGTCGAGGGGCATTTACAGAGGCGCCTCTGCACCCCTGGCAAAAAAAAGTGTACTGCGACCGCTTACTTTGCGTAATGGATGAGCCGCCCCTGGCCATAGATGCAAGCGAAATGTCAGGAGAGAATGCTTCTAGAACATGGCCATATAGCCCAAAAACACTATAACAATCCAGTGATTCCGGCCATGAAAGCCTTCGACAATACATTTTCTGTTCTGTTTTGAAACTTCTGGCAGTCTCTGAGTTCCAAGGAAAGGATGGACTCTTGGATCATTGAGGTGAATGACCTGTTCACCCATCTAGTGAAACTATAAGCCGTTTCATTGTGTCAAGCATGCACATTAGAGCTCTTTTATAGACATTCCCAAATTGGAGAATGAATGATGGTTTGCAGACCCAGTCCCTGGGCTTCTGCAATTAGTATCAATTATTCATATCCAGCTTTTTCTTCTTCATGTTCTACAGACAGATCTAATAACCACACTCAAGTGGTGCCATTGTAATCGATGGGCCGTGTTTCCAAATCAATAGGCTTGAGATTGAAGGAAGGATTCATATGAGACAAGGAGTTTGGTAACTATTTCTTTCTGGACCTCACCTGTTACGGTTGTATGGCAAGGAATGCTGGAGGACATATATTACCCACCTCTGTTCTAGAGGCTGCGTCAATAGGAGATTAGTGTCTATTAGGGCTGGGCGGTTTCATTCATTAATTTCGTAATTCTTTATTAATTCGTTATTTTTTTGATAACGAAGTGATATTGAACCATTCAGGAGCAACTAAAAATCGAAACGAATTTTTCAATTCGTTTTGTAATTGTTTCGTAATTGTTTTGAAATCATTTCGAAATTGTTTCGAAATCGTTTCGTTATTATTTCCGCATGTCTGGTGCAAGTTTTATAGTTGTTGTTTGTTTTATCAGTGAAAAAAAATATAATTATCACACCAACAGTCAACAACAGAGGGAGAGGGAAGCTTCAGAAGTCCCCCCTGTCCCATTTGGAGTTTTTTTTAGCGTATTGCGTGGTCGCGTCCGCCATTAATGAATCTATTCGTAATTGTTTCGTAATTGTTTCGTAATTTCCGAAAATTCGTAAATTTCGAACTTTTTTAAAGAAAAATTTCAGAATTCTTTTAAAAATCGAAACGCAAAAACCCCCTAAAAACGAATGGAGTTTAGAAACAAATTTTTCTGTGGTTGCCCAGCCCTAGTGTCTATAATAATAGATCCAGTCGCCCTTGGGCTGAGAAGGGTGGTATATAAATGTAGTAAATAAATAATAAATAAATAGATCGAGGGACGTCAGTATTTTCTGCTTTGGTCAGACCTCATCTCGAACAATACTGAATCCCAATCTGGGCACTACAATTCAAGAAGGATATGCATAATAATAATAATAATAATAATAATAATAATAATAATGATAATAATAATAATATACTTTATTTATATTCTGCTCTATTTCCCCAAGAGGACTCAGAGCAGATTACAAAAAACATATATTGCAAACATTCAATGACATTAAATAATTAACAACAAAAACAGACAGTACACAAATAGACAGACAGTACACAGAGACAAAGGCTTCCCCCTTTCCATCTCTGGCATCTGGAGGCTGTGCTCAATTCCGTCCATAGGGAGGTGCTCTTGTTCCATTTTCCATGCCGAGGAGCCTGTTGTCCATGCATGCCTTCCTGATGGAATTGCCGGCATGTCTACATGGGCACCTTTTACCTCCCGCCAAAGTGGTACCTATTGATCTACTCACATTATTGTTTTAGAAATGCTAGGTAGGCAGAAGCTAGGGCTAATGGCAGGACCCATTCCTTGAACTGCTAACCTTCCAGTCAGCAAGATTTTCTGCAGCTAACAGTTTAGCCCATGGTCTCCTTTCTGGAATGTGTCCAAAAAAGGTGAACATAATGGTTAGAGGTCTGGAAGTCAAGCTCTATGACGACTGGCTGAGGTAGCTGGAGATGTTTAACTTGGAGAAGAGAAGGCTAAGAAGGGAGATAACCATAGGTCAATATTTTAAAGAATGTCACATTGAAAAGGGGGCAAACTTGTTTTCCGTTGCTCTGGAGACTAAGAGATGGAGCAATGGGTTCAAATTGCAGGCAATGGGGTTCAACCTAGATATTTATTTACTATATTTATTTACTATATTCAGGCCCATAGCCAGGATTTTGATTTGGTGGTGGTGGTGGTGGGGGGTGGGGGGTGATGGTCTGAGTTTGATTCAGAGGGGGCTGAGTCTGAGTGAAAGAGGGTCTACCCTAGCAAACCTTTTGTATCGTTACCCCAATACCCCCATGAGATATATTGAGCATGGTGATCATATCATGATATGAATAACATAACAGTTTAAATAATGTACCAGTAAGGCCTTTTTGCAGACCACCATGAGAATTTGGGGGGGGGGGGGCTGAAGCTATTTGGCAATGAAATATGTTCTTTCGGAGTATAGTGGAGCCTCCTTCTCTTGAGGTTATGAAACAGAGTCTGGATGGCCATATGTCAGGAGTGCTTTCATTGTTTGTTCCAGCATGGCAGGAAAAGGAATTCCACCTAAACATTAGGAAAAACTTTCTGATGTTAAAAACTGTTTGATAGTGGATTTTCCTTCTCTGGAAGTTTTTAAGCTGAGGTTGGTTGGCCATTTTCAGGGGTGCTTTGACCGCAGCGGGTCAAACTGCTGAACTTGTTGACCAAAAGGTCAGCAGTGTGAATCCATGGAGCAGGGTGAGCTGCTGTCATTAGCCTCAGCTTTTGCCCACCTAGCAGTTCGAAAACATGCAAATGTGAGTAGCTAAATAGGTAGTGCTCCGGCGGGAAGGTAACGGTGCTCCATGCAGTCATGCTGGCCACATGACCTAGGAGGTGTCTATGGGCAACGCCAATTCTTTGGCTTACAAATTGAGATGAGCACCACCCAGCAGAGTTGGACATGACTAGACTTAATGTCAAGGGGAAATCTTTACCTTTACCTTGATTGTTTTTCCTGCATGGCAGAGTTGGGTTGGACTGGATGACTCTTGGAGCCTTTTCCAACTGTATGATTCTATGAGATATACTTCCACTGAAGCACAGGTAGAGCTCTCATTTTCCTATATTTCTCTCTCTCTCTGTCTCTCTCTGCCCCCAACTTCTCTCTGGGATTCATTTGAACAGGTGTTTGCTGAGCAGACCTGCGTGGGAAGCAATGCTAGCTGAACCTGTACAAAGGGAGAAACTCATTAGAGCTGCTGAAAAGACTGCGGAGAGGCGCTTTGTGGATTGATTCAGCACTACGAGGTACAACAAATTCATTCCTGTTATTGTGTGCCTTCAAGTCATTTCCTTAAGGAGAACCTGACATAGGGTTTCTTGTCAAGATTTGTTCAGTGGGAGTTTATCTATGTTTCCCTCTGAGGCTGAGAGAGAGTGACTTGTCCAACATTACCCATTGAGTTTCCAGGGCCAAGAAGGCATTTGAACCCTCCAGAGTCGTAATCCAATGCTCAAACCACTAGACTACATTGGTTTTTCCAATAACTTGCACAGGGTTAATTAAAGGAGAAACAACCAAGCAAGCTGACACCCCCCAGTTTTGAATTGTAATGCTTATCATCCCCCAACCACTGGCCATGTTGGCTAGGTGGGATTTGTAGTCCTATGTCTATTGACAATTTCTCATCAATTCCCATTTTTACATGGCTGGAGAGTCCCTCTTTGTGTTTTCCTTCATAGAAATGTGTCTCATTTTTGTGCACATTTTAAAAATGTACATATGTTTGTGTATGTTATCTAATAACCACCATTTGTGCACTTATTGTGCATTGATTTAAATCAGAGTACATTTCTGAGCATGTGCAGTGATCCATGAATATTTTTCCCCTCTGAAAGTTATTGCGAGTCTTAAAAACACATAGATTTCTGGGACATGTTGTGCCAACCGCCTCGTGTGACTGAAAATTGATATTTCCATATGGAGATGTACATCCAAGTATTTTCTTTCCTACCCTTTGTGTGGTGCATCTAGAATGAATGAAGTTTGACCCCACATTAACTGTCATGGCATATTATGGAATTGTGGAAGTTGTAGTTTTGCAAGGTCTGTAGCCTTCTGTGTTGCTGCTTTACCAAACTACAAAGCCCAGGATTCCATAAAATTGAGCTATGGCAATTGAAGTGGTGCTAAACTGCATTCCTTCTACACCAGTGGTTCTCAACCTGTGGGTCCCCAGATGTTTTGGCCTACAATTCCCAGAAATCCCAGCCAGTTTACTAGCTGTTAGGATTTCTGGGAGTTGAAGGCCAAAACATCTGGGGACCCACAGGTTGAGAACCACTGTTCTACACTGTACATCAGGCATGGACAAACTTTGGTCCTCCAGGTGTTTTGGACTTCAACTCCCACAATTCCTCAGCTTACACAGCTGAGGGGGAAAAGGAAAGGGCCTGAGGCTGTTAGGAATTGTGGGAGTTGAAATCCAAAACACTTGGAGGGCCAAAGTTTGTCCATGCCTGTTGTAGATGCATCATTCCAAGAATCTTTGGCTGTGCTGCAGCGCCACCACATTGGATGTTCAAAGTGTGGTACTGCAGGCCCCATCCAGCATCAATCAAATGGTACAAGGAAGTCAACAGAGTCCTATGTAGTGTGTATATGATATAGCAAGGTTACAACATCTGTTATAGAACTCCAATATGCTGATGACAATGTCATCTGTGCGCATTCAGAAGAAGACCTACAAGCCACTCTAAACACCTTTGCAGAAGCATACGAGAAGCTCGGCCTGTCATTGAACATCGAGAAAACCAAAGTGCTCTTCCAGCAGTCACCAGCCAATCCCTCTCCAGTGCCAGAAATACAGCTTAATGGTGTAACATTGACCATTTCCGCTACCTTGGCAGCCACCTCTCCACAAAAGTCAACATTGACACTGAAATACAACACGCCTGAGCTCTGCGAGTGCAGCATTTTTCCGAATGAAGCAGAGAGTGTTTGAGGACCGGGACATCTGTAGGGATACCAAGGGGCTTGTCTATAAAGCTATTGTCCTCCCAACTCTGCTATATGCCTGCAAAACGTGGACTGCCGACAGATATCACATGCAACTACTGGAACAATTCCATCAGCGCTGCCTCCGGAAAATCCTGCAAATCTCTTGGGAAGACAAGCGGACAAATGTCAGCGTGCTGGAAGAAGCAAAGACCACCAGCATTGAAGTGATGGTCCTCCGCCATCAACTCCGCTGGACCGGCCATGTTGTCCGGATGCCCGACCACCATCTCCCAAAGCACATGGACATGATCTTCACTGCACGAATGTTGGTGGGCAGGAAAAGAGATTTAAAGATGGGCTCAAAGCCAACCTTAAAAACTGTGGCATAGACACTGAGAACTGGGAAGCCCTGGCCCTTGAGTGCTCCAGCTGGAGGTCAGCTGTGACCAGCAGTGTTGTAAAATTTGAAGAGGCACAAATGGAGGGTGAAAGAGAGAAATGTGCCAATAGGAAGGCGCATCAAGCCAACCCCGACTGGGACTGCCTTCCACCTGGAAACCAATGCCCTCACTGTGGGAGAACATGCAGGTCAAGAATAGGTCCACAGTCACCAACGGACCCACCGCCAGTACACTGATCTTGGAAGACAATCCTATTTGGAGAACGAGGGATCACCGAAGTAAGTATAATGTAGCCCCTCATACTGTCCGTCTCTTCTTTCTATTTTCCCATACCCAATTTGAGAGACATTCATAGACAAGTTCCTCTAACCCAGGTTGGTTTTTTTTTGCTGGTCTGTCCAGTTGATGCCCTATTTTCTTCCAATCTATCACTAGTTGTTATAGCAACCGTCAATTCTAGGTAAGTATTAGAGCCACATTAGATGAAAAAACTTGCATGTTGAGAAACTAGGTGGAGAAGATTGTAAAATAACTCTATAGGTAGCTGGGATTGCACATTCAGATTTTTAGACTGTGGCCTAGCAATTGCATCTGAACTCAGAAGTCAGAAGGGCTGCTGTAGAAAAAACTTCAACTCCCAGAGTCCTCCAGTTAGTCATCACCTTGGGCACTCCCTTGTGGCCAAATCTGATTGTCTTCCAGAGGTAGAGTCTTGATGGTGAATCCATAAGTGACTGTAGAGACGTATTCTGGATCCGCATGGTCTTTCACATTGAGCACATAGATTTCCAGATGGAAGGTGATCACAACTAGGGTTTGTTTGATGCACCTTTCTCTCTTTTAGCCTCTATGTGTGCCTCTTCAAAATCCACAGCACTGTTGGTCACAGCTGACCTCCATTTATAATGCCCAAGTATTAGTGCTTCCCAGTTCTTGGTGCTCATTCCATATTTTTTAAGGTTAACTTTAAGCTCATCTTTAAATCTCTTTTCCTGTCCATCAACATTCTGTTTTCCATTCCTGAGTTGAGAGTATAGTAACTGCTTTGGGAGACCATGACCGGGCATTCCAGGGAAGTTGATGGCGAAGATCGCTGCTTCAGTGCTGGTGGTCAGCATTGTTACTTCAGAAATCACAGAATCATAGAATCAAAGAGTTGGAAGAGACCTCATGGGCCATCCAGTCCAACCCCCTGCCAAGAAGCAGGAATATTGCATTCAAAGCACCCCTGACAGATGGCCATCCAGCCTCTGTTTAAAAGCTTCCAAAGAAGGAGCCTCCACCACACTACAGGGCAGAGAGTTCCACTGCTGAACAGCTCTCACAGTCAGGAAGTTCTTCCTCATGTTCAGATGGAATCTCCTTTCTTGTAGTTTGAAGCCATTGTTTCGCGTCCTAGTCTTCAGGGAAGCAGTAAACAAGCTTGCTCCCTCCTCCCTGTGGCTTCCTCTCACATATTTATACATGGCTATCATATCTCCTCTCAGCCTTCTCTTCTTCAGGCTAAACATGCCCAGCTCCTTAAGCCGCTCCTCATAGGGCTTGTTCTCCAGACCCTTGATCATTTTAGTCGCCCTCCTCTGGACATATTCCAGCTTGTCAATATCTCTCTTGAATTGTGGTGCCCAGAATTGGACACAATATTCCAGGTGTGGTCTAACCAAAGCGGAATAGAGGGGTAGCATGACTTCCCTAGATCTAGACACTATGCTCCTATTGATGCAGGCCAAAATCCCATTGGCTTTTTTTGCTGCCACATCACATTGTTGGCTCATGTTTAACTTGTTGTCCACGAGGACTCCAAGATCTTTTTCACACGTACTGCTCTCGAGCCAGGCATTGTCCCCCATTCTGTATCTTTGCATTTCGTTTTTCCTGCCTAAGTGGGGTATCTTGCATTTGTCACTGCTGAACTTCGTTTTGTTAGTTTTGGCCCATCTCTCTAATCTGTCAAGATCGTTTTGAATCCTGCTCCCGTCCTCTGGAGTATTAATATAAAATATAAAGTTACAAAACTCTGACCAAAACAAGTGTGAGGGCTGCTTGATTGTGTGTCTTTGGGTTTTTGTAATTGAGTCCTACAGTTTCATTTTTTCTTTTGTGAATTGGCCCAAAGAACTCTTTTAAAATCCCTAGTTTCTTGGATAGGCTCTGAATAATTGATGCCATCATTGTGCAGAAGAACAAAACAAAATATCTTGCTTTGGACAACGCCGATATATAAATTACATTAACATTTCTGACCTAAAAAGTAATGTACTTGAGATTCTATGTGCATATTGATTTTTTAAAAAAATTTGAGTAATAATTTGTATAATTAATTGCCTTGATACACTACTTTTGGAGATACCAAGCATCTTAGTTCTTTTATGCCATAATGAAGGTGTCAGCTTCAAAACGGATGCTCTTGCTTTTGTATATGACAATATGACACCATGCCAAGTATTAATTGAATTGTTCTTTCTCTGTCCTTCTTCTCCAAGTTCCAAATACATGACACCAATGCAATCTAGTTTGGGGGCTCTCAAAGTCTTTTGACTCCACTCCTTCATCAACATCCCTCCAACATTTGGCCAGGGCTTCTAAAGCAATTACTTAAAAAAGTATTTCAATAGCCTTCAGGAAGGATAACACATCTTGCATACCTGATCAGAAAGGGCAAGTTCTGGGGGTTTTGGAACTCCCGGTTTCTGGAGCAGGCATGGGGCGAACTTGGGCCAATAGGCTGTTAGGAATTGTGGGAGTTGAAGTCCAAAACACCTGGAGGGCCCAAGTTCACCCCATGCCTACTCTAGAGCAGTGGTTCTCAACCTGGGGGTCGGGACCCCTGGAGGGGTCATGAGGGAGTGTCAGAGGGGTCACTAAGGACCATCAGAAAACACAGTACTTTCTGTTGGTGGGGTTCA